AACACTTTGGCGTCGTCCGTAGGGTGGGGGGAGGTAGCCGGCGGAAGTGAATTCACATCCGACGAATCCAGGGAGCCGCTCGACGACTCGTCGAGCCCGGCCTTGGGCGGACTGCATAATCATATTCGACATAAGGAAAGGCTGTGCAATGAAGGAATACTACGAATTACTCTGGTATCCGGATACTTACGATTTCGCCGGGCGCTTGGCCCTGTGCGGCCACTCCTCTTCGCCGTCGTCGGCGTCGGTGGAGTAGTCCGGAGGAAGGGTCTTCCCCTTCTTGGACCCTTCGGCCTCCTCGGTCGGGGCGGCCTTCCTTTTCTTTCCTCCCCCCGCTGGAGGGGGGAGGTTTATTCTTCCTCCTCCTCGTCTTCACGGGAGGAGCGCGTCTCGGATTCGTCGGATGATGAATCCAACACCTCCAAGCGCCGGGCGCTCTTTCGAGTCCCTGTGGCCTTCTTCTTGGCCTTCTTCTCCGGCACCACATAGGGTGCTGGAACTAGCAGCTTCGCCAAGCGAGCATCGGCTGGGTCTTCGGGCAAAGGAGCCGGACAGTTGATCTGTCCGGACTTCGCCTGCCAATCCTGTCAAAGGTAAGGGAGCTTAGATCCCGCATAGAGTCAAACTATGAAAAACTAATATCCTGTAAAAGGTAAAAATAGCTTACCGCACTAGTGTGACGCTGCGTGCCGAATCCGCGATCCTCGGAAGCGGATGCGGGAGCCTCGGCGCCCTTGAATAGCACCTTCCAGGCATCTTCGTACATCGTGTCAAAGAGCATGTTCAGAGTTCGGTGCTGCGCTGGGTCAAACTCCCATAGGTTGAAAGCCCGTTGTTGACACGGGAGGATCCGGCGGATGAGCATAACCTGGACTACGTTGACAAGCTTGACCTGCTTGTTCACCAGGGTTTGGATGCATGTTTGCAGTCCAATCACCTCTCCTTTGTTGCCCCACGACAGGCCCATCTCTTTCCAGGACGTGAGCCGCGTAGGGGGTCCGGACCGGAACTCGGGAGCTGCGACCCACTCAGGGTCGCGCGACTCGGTGATGTAAAACCACCCCGATTGCCACCCCTTCAGGGTCTCCATAAAGGAGCCCTCGAGCCATAGGACGTTGGGCATCTTGCCCACCATGGCACCTCCGCACTCCGCCTGGTTGCCGCGCACCACCTTTGGCTTGACATTGAAAGTCTTGAGCCATAGGCCAAAATGGGGGCGGATGCAGAGGAAAGCTTCACACACGATGATAAACGTCGAGATGTTGAGGATGAAGTTCGGGGCCAGATCGTGGAAATCCAGGCCATAGTAGAACATGAGCCCCCGGACGAATGGGTGGAGAGGAAAGCCCAATCCGCGGAGGAAGTGGGGAAGGAACACTACCCTCTCATGGGGCCTTGGGGTGGGGAGGAGCTGCCCCTCTTCGGGGAGCCGGTGCGCGATGTCGTTAGACAAGTATCCGGCCTTCCTCAGTTTTTTGATGTGTCCCTCCGTGACGGAGGAGACCATCCACTTGCCTCCCGCTCCGGACATAGCTGGAGAAGGTCGTGGTGGGAATGCGGACTTGGGCGCTGGAGCTCGAGTGCGCGGAAAATGGATAGGCAAAGGAGGAAGAAGGCGTAGGTGAAAAGGTGGATCCTTATCCCCTTATATGGGCGGATGCGGCTATGCGTCCCCACCAGCCTGATAAAACTCGCTTATCTCCCAAGCGCCGTAATCAATAGCGCGGTTGGGTTACCCACGCCCGTATTGATGAGAATCTCGGAATAAGGGGACACGATCTCTGCTTTGACAAGACGTGCCAAGGAAACCGCCTCGCGAAACACGCTGAGGTGGGGCAGTAAAAATGGTTCGAATAAAGGCTTCGCCGTGGTGTGATGTCACACTATGGAATACGTCAGCAGATTAGATCTGTGTAAATATTATTCTCTCTACGGCAATGTGTGGAAACTTATTTTGCAGAGCCGGACACTATCCTTTGTGTTCAAAATCTTCTATGAAGTACTTGGAGGAGGAACCCGCCTTGCAATGCCGAAGACAATCTATGCGCCGGACTTGTCATCATTGAAGCCTAGTTCAGGGGCTACTGAGGGAGTCTTGGATTAGGGGGTGTCCGGATAGCCGAACTATATCTTCGACCGGACTCCTGGACTATGAAGATACAAGATTGAAGACTTCGTCCCGTGTTCGGAAGGGACTTTCCTTGGTGTGGAAGGCAAGCTTGGCAATGCGGATATATAGATCTCCTACCATTGTAACCGACTCTGTGTAACCCTATCCCTCTCCGGTGTCTATATAAACCAGAGGGTTTTTAGTCCGTAGGACAGAAGAAGAACAATCATACCATAGGCTAGCTTCTAGGGTTTAGCCTCCTTGATCTCGTGGTAGATCTACTCTTGTACTACCCATATCATCAATATTAATCAAGCAGGAGTAGGGTTTTACCTCCATCGAGAGGGCCCGGACCTGGGTAAAAACATCGTGTCCCTTGTTTCCTGTTATCATCCGCCTAGACGCACAGTTCGGGATCCCCTACCCGAAATCCGCCGGTTTTGACACCGACAAGGACCTATGACACGAGCACGAGCTAGATCTCTCGAGACCGAGGTGACTTCCTTCCTTAGTGATATCACATATGATCCCCTCGAGACATGGCTACTACCTTAAGTCTGGAATGTTGTGCATGATTAGGTATCAAGAGGATCCTCCCGAAGATGCACGTAAAGATGGACAAACCGCCAAGTTCATGGATGAGGGGAACCAACGGAAGGTGGAGAAGACAGCTCCAGGACCCGGACATCCGGCCCCCAGCCCCGGACATCCGGCCCCTGGAGACCACAACAGCAGCCCAGCCGCAGGAGACCTGCAGACCCTGGACATCCGGCCATGCCCCAGACATCCGATCCGTCGAGCCCGAACATCCGGCGCAGCCCCGGATATCCGGCGCACCCCAACAGAACGCATCCGAAGCCGAAGCCCCATCAGCCCGGACATCCGGCCCCAGCCCCGGATATCCGGCACCCCGTGAACGCCTTGACATCCAGCCCAACGCCCGGACGTCCGGCCCCGCCTGTCTGCGCACAGTGAAGGGCTGAGGCCCGTGTACCCTTTCGCCCACCTAGAGTATATATACTCTATATCCCCCCTCTTTCTAGGTCAGCATTGGTTTTAGCTCATACTTGAGATAGAGCATTGCTCATCCATACGGATCTACTCCCCGAGAGAGACTGCGACCCCTCTACGGAGAAGATCCATCTTGGATTCAAGACCCCCTCTCGGGTGGCCCCATCAAGACCTCCTCACGGAGAAGAACCGGTTACCCTATGTATCGTCCCTTGTTGACTTTGGATCGTGTCTCTCCTTGTGTTTCGAGGATCTAGCACATGTGTAATCGAATCTTGTTGGTTTGAGTGATTCTCTCTTGTATTTTCCCCTCGTTTCCTTCGTGTTCTTCGTGTCTCCTCGTTGGGATCCGCTTCTTTCGTGAAAGATCGGGTCGTTAGGGTTCTACCCTACATCAAGATGCAACCAGGGCAGTTTGCTTGTGATTCAGGTACTGGTGCAAGGAGCGTCTCCGCGGGCAAAAGCAGAGATCCAGCGTTGGACTTGTTCCAATACTGGGGTACATGTGTGGAATACTACTGGTTGTATCTGAGATGGACATTTCCTATACACTAGCACATAAATGCAGATTGGTGATCCAGATGCAGATATATGGCGTGGATAAGCATACCAGTGGACGCCGTGCACCAAAGGAGTTTTTCGCATTTTGTGATCCATTTCACTTTCATTGCAGTCTCAAGATGGTACCCCCACGTGAGAAAACCACATATCAATTTTTAGAAGGACTGGTTGAATGGGCAAAGAACACAATTTTGCAAGGTTGCTAACGTTGGTGTAGAAAGAATTTCTCTACAAACTGCTTGCATCTGGTATTTAATATTCACATTTCCATGCCTTCATATCACCCTTATTAGACCAACAGTTTTCCTTATTTCATTCTGAAATGTCTAAGAACTGTAATGAGCTTCTAGCCGTTGGCAGCTGTGTGCAAGCAAAGCCCTACCGGCGTGGCTGTTTGCTCTGCGGTTGGTCCGACGGTGAGCTTCACATACCTGCGTGTATGCGCTGGTACCGTACTATCCTGGCCCGCGCGAGCAAGTTCACATATGATAAAATTATTTTTTGCTTCTCGCAGCCACATTATTGACTGTCAGAAGTTGAATGTTAAGCTCGACAAGCTTCAGGCCAAGCTGCCAAAGCACAAGCAGCAACTCTCGTGACGCCTGAAATATGAAACTCCCTTCTTGTGTAACTTTAATTGTGTAACTGTTTAGTCTCAGTAGTCGTTTAGGTTTAATGTACCAAGTGCAGTGGTTTTAGTTCTTTGATGTGAACATATCTGATGTTTTTTGGTGTTCATTAGTGAGAATGTAAATGCGCAATATGGTTTGGTCATTACATAGGTTGCAAGTGTTGATTTTTTTTATTATGTGTATAATTGGATAGTGGATGGAATTGAAGAGTTGATCGCACGGAAGAAAAAAAGTAGCGAGGGCCAATGGGCTGACACACAAAATGGTGGAAATGCATAATATTGTTTGTATCGGTGTTTGAACCATCATAATATGTATCCTCCTGTTGCAATGCACGGGCGTAAGTAGAGATGAGTTTTTCTTTTTCTTTTTGAGGGGTGTAAGTTTTTTTTTAGAAGTTTTGAGGGGTGTGAGTAGAGATAAGTTTTTTTTTTCGAGACACAGTAGAGATAAGTAAAGATTTGCGTTCGCTACTGTGCGTGTTTCCTGGGCCGGCCCACTCGCGTCGTCTTCGAGCGCCAGGAGCGCGAACGGGTTCCCGTAAAAAACACATACTACGATCCAGCAGCGGCGTGCGAGATAATGGGCCGTTTCGTGGCGCATAAAACGCTGCCTAGGAGGACTCGGGGTCGCGACGCCACCACAGATCCCCCAAAATCCCCACCAAAATCGGAAGTCCCGTCGTGATGGGCGACGCCGCCAACGCCTCCCGTCGGCGTCGGCTGGCCTCAATTCTCCTCTCCCGGAAACCGCGCTTCACCGACAGCACGAACGAGACCACGGCCACAGTCATATCCAGGGATGGCTTTACCATGAAGGTCTCCTTCTGGATGGCCGACCCACCGCAGCTGTCAATCTTCTCCATCCACTGCTGCAGTCCCCCTCATCTGCAAGACCGCCCGTATTCCGAGTTCTCAGTTTCGCCACGCGTGGTCGGCGTCGGCGCGGAGGGCCGTTTCGTCCTCTTCCGCGCCGTCTTCAACGGCCACTACGCATCTGAATATTTCCTGTACAAGGCTGGTGAGTCGCCGTTGCTCGACCGTATTCCTTCTCCCGACGAGTATTGTGATGACGACCGCGATGATCTGCGCGGGGTCAGGGAGTTCGGCATCCTGCAGCTTGGCAGCCACTATCTCGTGGCCGCTCTCTGCCTCGCGCCGTCGTCGGATGACTACCACCTTTGGATCTACTCGTCCGAGAAAAAGTCCTGGATCACTAGGACACTGCCCAATCCATGTCCTGTGGTCGACAGGATTATACCCGATAAGGTGATCTCGCTTGGAGAAGGCTTGCTAGGGTGGGTTGATTTGTCACACGGCCTGCTGATGTGCGATTTGGGTCAAGATCATGTAAGTTTCATCCCGTTGCCGGAGCTGTTGCCTGGGAACAGATACAAACTAAAATGTCCCATTCCGCCTACCACCGCAAAGAGAAAGATAAAACTAGAGGACGAATCTTTCTTGTGGTTTCGGGATCTCACATGCGTTGATGGCGTGCTCAAATTTATTGAGATGGAGAATCTTGCTCCTGGAATCCAGAGCAACAAGGAGGGTATTGTCTATGATTCGGACTTGATCATGTCGCTCGAGCGCAAAGAGGATTGGAATTCCAAGCAGCTGTCCTTTGGGGGTGCCTGGAGAGCTGTCACATGGACTCGGACATTTTCATCTAACTGTTGGCGCCAGACATGCGCTGCTGATGTCGCTGACATCTTGGTTGACGAGTCTTTGTTGCCCGGGCTGGACATGACATTGGGGAACCTCTACTCAGCTTTCCCCATCCTGAGCCCGGATGGTGACGATATTCTTTATATCAAATCTGTGCTGAAACCTAGTATTCACGATGGATGGGTGGCAGCCGTTGACCTGGGAAACAAGGCAGTGAAAGCAATTGGAAAGTATTATCTTCCGGATGATTTTTATTACGAACTTCCTATGACCCTCAACATCCTTTCTTTGCCTGTACATTATCCCGCCATCTGGATATGACTCCAGGTAACTGTTAGCTGCTCTTATTGTTCGCCATGCCTATGCAATGCTTACAGTCCTTATCTACTTAGTTATTATGTTCTTCTTGTGACTGCCTTGGCAAATTAACCTGGGGGCTGTTTGGAGCCACTTGATGGCTGCCTTATGCCTGCATATTGCTTTGTGTGTTTTCTGCATATTTGCCGGTTCCCTAAGAAACCCAGGATTGTGAGTATGGTGTTGCTTATGAATTTAGTGGTTTGTGTAGGCACTGAAGTCTCAGCGTGTCGCAAGATCCCAGAAGAGGCTAGCAGCTCTGCAAATCAGCCAAGCAACTCCTCAGTAAGTATTTTGCATCACTTTTTATTTCAAAGAAAGAATTTCTGCCAAGTAACTTGCCATCTCTTCTGTGCATAGATCTGTGTGGGTGAGCTCAATTCCTGTGAACCAAGGAGCAAAATCCAAAGGCAAGCTTCTTATTCTCTTCGGAATCTCTCTTCTCCTGAGGCCTGGGCACTTATGATCCGACTTAGATCAATTCATTTTATAATTTGATGGCTATTCGCCAATTAGTTTTACCTGATCTCTTGCCTAATTGACTTTCTGTTCATCAGGCCTTGGGAATGGGCTCAGAAAAACAAGCGTGCACGAAATGCTGTTGGGAGTATTATGCAGAACGATCATATTTCCCAGGTCCATCCTATTGAAAACAATCTGCGGAAGGTTCCGCGATGGCAGTCTAATTTGTGTTCTATTTATTATCAGTGGCTCATCCGATTTCTCTCTCTCACTTTCTCCTTTATTGGCGATGCGAGCAGCAGCTTGACGAGAAGGTGCTGGAGCTAGAGCGGGAGATAGAGCATGAGCTAGAGCGGAAGAAAGAGCGTAAGGTATATTTGGCCGAGATCTGTGTGAATTTGCTTTTGTGAATTTCGTCCTTGTGCTGTTGTTCGCTTTGCCATGCATCAATAGTTGGCAATCCCATATGCCCTGTTTCCAATCTATATTCCCTTAATCGTTCAGCAAGATTAATTAGAATGCACCATTTACAGACACAACAGCAGTGCTTCAAAAAGTGGGATGCGCCATGCTATCCCCCTGGGCAGTCATTGTGGCCCCAAAACAATCTGGTATGTCGTATTCCATATACCATGTTTCACAGTTGTCTATTTTCTTATCATCATCAAGAAAGATTAATTAGAATGTACCATTCCAGCCAGCGCGGCAATACTTCAACAAGCCAGATGGACCATGTGGTCCTGGTTATGCATCGTTTGCCCCTGTACATGGTCGTCACAACAACCAGCCACTGTGGCTGCAGCTACCACCATTAAAACGGCTTTTCACTTATAGCAGTGAGTTTGGACCTCATGAGGTAAAAACATTGGTGAAGCTTATTATGATATTCTGCTGTCTCCTCTATTGACCTGTAGCTCTATAGCCCTGGAACGGACCATCTTCACGTGTTAAAAATTACTCGCAAGATACATTTTCTTGGTAGTAACTCTCTCACATGTGCTGTTATGGTTGATGGGCCCAAGTTGACATGTTCTGTGCAATTTTGTATTATGTGTTTTGAAAGTAAAAAGAGGGGAAAAAAAGAACTATGGGCACCAAGTTTAAAAGTATGTAATCAGTAAGCCTAAAAGCAACTAAACTGTTATATTCATTATTTGAGTTCATTGGAATATAATAAGCAACAAAGATGAAATTATCTATCTCTGCTATGCCGTGATGTGCTACTTTTTGATTTGTTGCCTAGGTGTCTGTTTTTCCATCATCTTACTATCAACTGTTGCCTATGATTTCAGGTACCCCAGCCATCCTTCAACAATAGCAGTGGAGCCAGCTACCATTGGTATCCACAGCAACTTACTGCCCCCAACTCATTTGCCTATGGCGCACACACAGGCTATGGCAAGTACCAACACCAATGGGAGAAGCCTCCCAATACTCTGGAGCTGCCTGTTGCATCTTGGGAGCATTCACCTTCTCCTTCGTAGTGTCATCCAACACCTAGCGAGGTAAAAGCAGTACTGAAAACCTGTGTTTGCTGGCATGGTCCTCTTTTAGACAGTATAGACATGGAGTGAACCTTTCATTAAGATTACTTCTTCAAGATAGTTATTCTTGCTAGTAATTCTGCGCTTGTTGCATATGCAGAACCCTTGTGTGTTTCAAACTTGAAATTTAAAGATGGTTACATATTGTAAACACTATGTAAATCCTCTCATAGTTTGACACTGTTGCTTATGGTCTAGAGTGTCATTGCTGATGGTCCGAACTGTGAGAAATGTTTATTTCCTAGAAATTCTTTGGAGACCAGTAGTAATCATGGCTATGCTTGTGGTAACAGGGGACCTCTTCCATCCTACCGTTGGGAGATATATGATTTCTCTTTCCAATAGTCAAGGCAAGGTGAAGAAGTCTCATGAACTGGCCAGCAGCTACAGTAGATCTTAATTAACAGTAGCCAAGCTGCTGATCGAAGAGGCCTGATGACGCCGCCACTGGAGCCTCTAATATATGTATTTATGTAGTAGATGAGCAAGACCATCCTCCCTTCCAGTGCGGTGTATGTGTACTGGCTTAATACTGGACTGCCTTATTATAGTACCCTACCTAGCTGTTGAATCGTATTGGTGATGTTTATATTATGTATCGCGTGCTTGACTGCAGACAAGTTTGATAACAATTGTGGTGTGGTTCTTTGTGATTTCCTCTTGTGGTTCTATTCCTGGAATGGAATACTTGTAGTAGCTGAGGCAATAATAATGGTGTTTCTTTTGGCTTTACTAAGTACTCCGACTTCAGATTACGTCTGAGCCAAGGGAATGAAAAACCTATCCTGTGAGTATGGCTACAACTTAGCTGCAAGACAGAAACTACACATACAGAACCAACCAGGCTTTCCTGTAAACATTTTTAGACAACAAACTAAGGCTGCACTATCACATTGTGATTTTTTTTGCCCACCTGCACTAGGACACCAATCCCAGATAGTTCTGCCCAGACAATGGGGCACTTGGACAGATCGAGACAGCACCAGCTGGCCTGATGAAGAAACATACCCCACCTCATCTCCCACGGCCAGGTTGTAGAACGTAAGAAAGGAAAACATGTGGGGTAAGATTACGGCCTGAAAAAAGGAACCCACGCGCCACAGCCACAGCCACCGTAAAATCAAAAGGTTGACGGTGGAAACTTACGGTGTGGTCAATTGTGTGCGCACCTCTTATTGGACCGTAAGAAAACCAAAGTGTGGCCACGTAAGACTTAACTACAATGTGCAGACGTGCTATTGAGTTGCACTATGAGAACGTGTCCAGCAATTATTTATGATTAACGAACAAATCTCCTATGGGATCATGTTCTGTTTAAAAGTTTGTTAAACTATCCAGATAAATAGCATCTCTTTTTTGATCTCATGACTTTTTATGCGATCAGAAACGAATGAGATCAGAAAGATAGACGGACGAGTTGACCATAAGGTCGGATGTTTCCATGAGTAGTAAGCAGCAGCGGATCCTGTATGAATTGATCTTCCTGTGCTATCCTATGACCATTGCATGCTCGCGTAACGTGCTTCCTCCGGCGGAAAAGAGTAGCCGGCGGCAGATCAACAGCACCATCACCCAATACGCGGCCGACGACATCCCTCACACAGCTGTGACATGTGATAGGTACAGAGAAGAAACACTGGATACACTCCGTTCTAAAGACCTGTGGATATACCGGCTGCGTACATCGAGGTGTGCTTAGTTGATGAATGCTAATCGTCAATGAGTTCACAACGCCAGTGTAAAATACCTCGTGCAAATGTAAGAATTCTCAGTGCAAGCAACACCGCTTGCAAACTATGGTTTTTAGATACATCAACAGTTTGCAGTGCCGATGTAAAATACCTTATGTTAATGACAGAATTCTTGGTGCACATAAGAAAGACCACACCGACGTTTATAGAACACAGATGGGCTGTGGTTTTTTTAGATATATGTGGCAGTAAAAAAATATGGGATGTTTCATTACACAGAATACTAACATGATAATAAACAAACTCCATGAAGCAATAAGAAATTTGCCTCATTTGCAAAAGTGTCTACAAAGTAGGTAATGACAGAAGATGAATGAAATCATGATTGTCCAGCCATACTAGAAATTGCAAGACTAAGCAATCATCTCATTCTCTTTTTTTTTTGAGGGGACAATCATCTCATTCTTCATGAATGAATGAATTGTGCAATCCATGAAAGTAAAAAATAAATGTTTTTCATATGTGCTCTGAAACACCCAAGCATGGTCACCAACTTTTTGGTGCTGCAACATCTGTTGTCCATTGATAGCATGCTTCTTAAGAAAAAAGAAAGATTCTGACAAGACCTTAGGAGAGAAAAGATTTTGAGCTAAACAAGAAGGGCATATACAGAGCTCCATCAGGAGGAGACCACCACTAACACTGCAACCTATAAACACACCAGTTGGGAATAGCAGGTTTGGATACAAGTTCCTGTCAAAATCAAAACGAAATCCACGGATTAATGCTCCTTTATCATATTGATTACCCAATGGGGGTAAAGCACAAGCATACGGATGGTGTGAAAATGCATTACCAGCAACCTAGAATTGGGCATCATTTGTCATAATGATCCCTTGAATAAATGTGTGAGAGCAAACACACAATCATAAATATAGCTCAGTAGAATTAGAAGCTAGTAGGATCATGTACACCCAAATTCAAATTCAGGATAACCTCACCTCAAGTATATACTCTGCTTGCCAACATTTAACAAATAGAAAATTAAAAAAATAAGAATTAACAACATACACATAAAGTATATTATGTATTCCATGTTAAGAATTTCTAAAGCTATATTCAGATAAGGCATAAGAATAAAAATATTCACTGATTGCCACTACTTCTCTAGCCTATAGACAGTTAGCCAAATATAGGCCTCCCTGGAAGGAGCAAATCCACCACTATTAGGGGTAAAAGGGAAATTTATGTCCTCGGTACTTAAGCC